CCACCGCGCCGTGGCAGCAGATCGCAACAGATGATGTCATCATGGCCCGAGGTGACGACCACCGTGGCGTAGGGACAGGGGGGGTGAAGTCACACCACGTTGTAAGGGATGTGTTTTCAGGGGCTAGGGTTGCTTACCCACTGTCTCGCAGGACGCTTCAGAACCACGCCAAGAACTTCAGGCACTTCTTCGGTTTGCGCCCAACCTCAAAGCCGCCGGTCTGTCTAGTTAAGATGGATGAAGCAGGCGAGCTTGAAGGGGCAGCGTCGGAGGTCGGTCTCATTCCAGAGACATCCCTCCCGAACCGATGGCCTCATAACTCGGTGCTTGAGCGCGACGTAAGGGAAGAGAAAGAGTGCTGTAGGAGCATCCACCTTCAGTCGGGATTGCCCTACGACTTCCACACCTACTCTTACCCTTACGCTTGCCTCTCGCTTTCTTTCGACCGAGCGAGCCACAGTGACAAGTCTAAGTCACAGTGGGAGGTTCTCACAAAGGCTCCCTTCGAGGGTATCCGCGCGTGTTTTGGACAGCTTGTCTATTACCGCAAGAAGGGTCCCTCGACAAGGGCTCTGGATCCGAACCTTCAGCCTGGTTTGTTTTTAGGATGGCGCCTAGACTCAGGTTTAAGGTATAGGTTCGTGACCAAGGTCCTCGATTACATAGAGTTCCGTTCCAAGCGCAACACCTTGGTTGTTGACGTCCCACAAGACGAGCTCTTTATCGAGGAGGGCCCTCCAGTCTTTCCTGTGGCCAATGCTAATCGCCGCGCCCTGGTTGAAGGGGCTGCAGAGGGCGTGCTCCCAGACATTCCGCTTAAGGAAGTGCCGTTCCCGCCAGAGGGCAGTGACGTTAGGCCTCCCCTTAGGGACCCTAAGGTGAAGAGTGTTTATATCACTGTAGAGCGCATCATTAAGTTTAAGGAAACCCCTGGGTGTAAGGCTTGCTACGGGAAGGCGACGGTACACACGCCAGAGTGCCGCAAGCGTTTCACGGAACTTGTTGAGAAAGAGCGCAGGGAGAAGGAAGAGCGCCGCTCTCTACCTCCCACTCCAGGCAGACCAGTGCCACCAACTCCCGCAGAAACTGTGCCGCCGACACCCGCTGCAGAAAGCGTGGCTCCGCCCACTCCTGCTCCTGTGCCGGAAGCGCCCGTCAGGGGGGACGCTGGGGTTTCGTCAGTTGCCGGTGCTGCTGTTCCTTCAGCGACAGCAACCAGCACAAAGCTCGCCGAAGCAACAGGTGACCAGCCTCCAGTGTTTGGTGTCCCTGCTGGTGTATCTGCAAAGCAAGCTCCTCAGCAAAAGCCAGTTTTCCAGAAAGGAACCAACCGAAGGGCACGAAGAGCAAAGGCAAAAGGAAAAGGCTTTACCACCGTTTTCGAGTACGACTGCTCTACCACTTCAGCCTTTGGTAAGTCCCACTTTGAGCTCGGTGTTCCACACCTGCGCCTCTCGAGACAGTACTTTGATCTCGAGGACAGCTGCGTTCAAGCCCAAGTTGCCGAACAACTTGACGCAGTGCCGAGCGCGCACCTTTGGGGAGCGCTCCCTAACCTAACTGGGTTTAGGAAGAGGGACGGCGAAGCCGCAAAAGGGAGGTGGTTAGCTCAGCTTGTGAACTTTAGGTACAGGTTCTTAGCCTTTGCTTCTCACGCACGCCACGCGTTGGAGAAGGGCCACGGGTGTACGCTTGTCTGGCCTACCAACTCAGAGTGTTGGCGTCGCCCTGCAGTGAAAGAGTTTCTTTCCGAGCACAAAGACGTGTTGCACAAGGTTGAGGTTAAAGGTTGTGACTTTGGTTGGTGGGGTAAGGACGAGAAACCGCTTCGTGCCTCATTCAGGTTTTACACCACCTCAACCCGCTTAGTTGAAGTGCTTGGAAGGTTTCAGAAAGAGCATCAAGTTGAGGAGTGCTCTAAGGACAAGGGTGTTACACAGCATGTTCCCACAGACATGCCCGCACTGCGTCGCCACATTGTGCTTGCCCTCAATCACAATGCTCAGGCACCCATTGCACCTGCCATGCCAGTGATCCCTATGCAGGAACAGCAAGAGCATCGCACGAAGGAGCAGGCTTTGAGGCACATCTCACCACTCGCAGGTCTCGAGGACTTTGCCGCTGTGGTGGAAAGTGACCCAACCACAAAGCGCATCGTGGAGGAGATTGTGGACCTGAACGGTTTAGTGTCGCAAGTTTGTGGCCTAGACTGGGATGGGAAGCAGTCAAATCCGGAGGTTGCTGCTATGGTTACCAAGCTCCTCTCGCGCGCAGAGATGCTCGCCAGCCCGGAGGCTCTAGCAGCTCTTAGGAGCGAAGCCGATGGCCTCAAAGCTGTTCCCGTCTGGGACGAGGCCCATCCCCGAGAGTACGCTGACGTACAACGGGAAGCTAAGAGCTCCGGGGCTAAGGTTCACTTTGGTAGGTTAATGACTATAGTTTCGATTAAGTTCTATGAGCTGGCGAAGCACCTGCAAAAGCTCAAAGGGCGTATCGTCTATAGGGGTGACTGTGCCAAAGACGAGTACGGGGCAGCTGCTGTGTACCAGGAGTTGGGTGCCAATCCCACTTCTGTCCAGGGGCTCAACAATTGCCTAGCGTACGGCGCCCTTCAGGGGCATGCCACCACCACGGCTGATGCGATTAAGGCATACGTTCAGGCGTTGCTGAAGTCGAAGCATCAGACGTGGATTGAACTTCCTCCCGAGCTTCGCCCGAAGTGGTGGAGAGAGAAGTTCGCCCGGCCCGTTGTGTTGCTGCTTCGTGCCCTCTATGGCCACCCCGACGCAGGGGGCCTGTGGGAGAAGCACTTAGCGCACATCATTAGGGGCCTTGGGGGCAAGGAGGTTCCAGAGTTTCCCGGAAACTACTGGTTCCCCAATCGCAGGCTTTTGTTATCGACATATGTCGACGACCTGACGTTGTCAGGGCCAGAGGCAGAGCACCAAGCCTTCTGGGACGAGCTCACTGCTCTCGTCGATGTCGAGCCTCCTGAGCCCGTGTTTCGTGTCCTGGGGCGCAACCACTACATCGCTGATGTAGATAGTGAGGCAGCTGACATGCCGGCAGTCGCTGCAGCCAAGGACGCAATGTCATTTGATATGGTAGACTACGCACAGCAAACCGTAGACCTCTACCTATCATTGACAGGGGCCAAGAAGCTAAAGAGCGCCCAAACGCCCTTCTGCCCTGAGGGGTCGCTTCCACCATCTGACGACGAAGTCGGAGGTGAGTTAGCGCCCGCTGCATGTAAGTTGCTTATGAAGGCATTGTGGTTAGGCCGCTTAGCGCGCCCAGACATAATAAAGCCAATAGGTGACTTGGCAACCTGCGTGCAAAAATGGAGTCGCAACAACGACCGCCAAGCGCACCGTCTCGTTTGCTACATTGACAGCACAAAGCACCATCGTTTAGTGGGGCACGTCAACGACAGCCCAGACGACCTCAGGCTGTCTTTGTATGTAGATGCAGATTTCGCGGGCGAGAAGGCCCATGCGCGCAGCACTTCAGGGGGGTATTTAGTTCTTTCAGGCCCTAATACCTTTTTCCCTTTGGCTTGGGTTAGTAAACGCCAGACCTCTACCTCCAGATCCACTACAGAGTCTGAGATAGTTTCCCTGGCACACTCACTGTACAGTGAGGGACTTCCCGCTTTAAGCCTGTGGGACACGCTTCTTGGCAGAACGATGCAGATGACTGTGCATGAGGACAACCAAGCCACGATCCTCATAGCTCGTAAGGGTTTTTCACCGAAGCTTCGCCACATCTCGCGGACGCATAAAGTGAATTTGTCTTGCCTCGCAGAGCAACTCGAAGAGGGCTCTGGTGTTGATATCTCCTATATTGACACCAACCTTCAAGCAGCAGACATCTTCACGAAGCAGCTTCCACCTGCAAAGTGGGACAATGCAATCCGCTTGTTGGGGTTACGCACAAAGATGCCCAAAGAGCTTGTTGACAAACGCGTGCTGTCATCAAAGCCAGGAGCAGCGCCCAAGTCTTCAAAGAAGTAGGGGCTGCAGTCTGCTCATAGCGCCCAGTCCTCTGTGACAAAGGGGTAGCTTGGTTGCGCCAACCGGTTCCCAATAGATTGGTATGGTTCCAGAAACGCATCCCAAAGATGCGTCTGTTATCATTTGATTCTAAATCGCCAGTCCGAGCGAGTAAGGGGGGCAGCCTTTTTAGCGCCCGCAAGCAGCGATGCGCGAGCGTCCGTGCCGCAGCCCCCGCTCGCACGCCCTTATCCCGGCATGAAGCCATTTTGGCGTCGGTCGAAAGGGCCCAGCCTTTTGCACTACGATGTGCACGGCGAGGGGGGAGTTAAGAAATATCGACCCCTAAGCACCTAGTAGTGGTGTAGTAAAGCATAGCTTCTAGGCCTTACGCCGTAGGCTCAGAGAGTGTTCGTTTCACACTGAATTCTACAATGTATTTGGCTCAAGACATGACTAGAAAAAGAGCGTCTATTGCACTTCTCTGCGGTAGGCCTCGTGTGGGTTGTGTCTTGTTCTGTTTAACTATAGGACCAGGATTCACCAGGATCGTTCCGATTTAAGGGGTTAGCGCTGTTACCACCCCACGCCTCTGCAACTCTGCATATGGAGATCTCTTGAAACCGTAGCCGAAAGCCCCCAATTTCTCAATTGCAGCAAGTGAAACGATTTTTTCAAAGAAACCATTGAAGCAGCCCCATTAACAACCTTACTTGCACTATTGGAACCTACAGCAATTCCTCAAAGTGTAAAAGCCCGCAGCAACTCCTCAAAGTACCATAGGGGCCTAACTAAGTACCAATACTACTTTGGGGGTTCCTCATTATAAGTATACTATAATATGCCCCACAACCCTATTCTACAATTAAGGCCCGTACATTATAGCACCCTTATAGATCCCTTATAGTAACCCTTATAGGCCCCTGTAAAGGAACCCTATTCGAACAATTCAGGCTCCCATAATACGACCAGACACAGCCCTTCGAGAAGCCGCTGTTGTCATCGAAGGACGTGCCTCCCATGCCGTCTCCCCGGAGTTTCGGTGCCGCAGCGAGCCTTCGAGGCCCGCGTTTAGCGGTTTCGGGGTTTGGGGTTTAGCGTTTGGGGGTTTCGGGTTTGGGGTGCAGGGTTTAGGGGTTTAGGGTTTAGAGCTTGCCGTAGAGTGCCGCACAAGCGGGTTTAGCTTGCCACGGTGTACTTTCGAGTGCGTCGTAGTAGGACAATTGGCCAGCACACCACTTCCCTCGTCTGCCCCCCAAAATGGCTTAAGCCCCTGAGTTCGAGCCGTTCACTTAGAGGCAAGCTCTACATTTGCGGCGGCTCCGATGGGCTGCAGGTGACGCAAAGGCTGGACCTGAAATGGCAAGAATCTTTGATCGCTTTTATCAGGGGTCCTTTGATTAGAAGGTTTGAAGAATGGGCCCTTAATGTGGACCCTTAGGCCTTTATGAGGGAGTTCTAGAAAGGGCATGTAGTAGGTTGCAGGGTTAAGGGCCCATACATTTGCAAGGGTTCCTTTGGGGTGTTACTGGGGGCGTACTATGGGCTTTTACAAACGTCTCCTTTTATGGGTTTTATGGTGCTTTTACACGGCCTTCACAGGGTTCGATATGGGAGGGGCTTGAATGGTTACCAACACCATTGCTCCTTTTTAATTGTGATTCTGGCCCAAACTTAAGGAATTGGGGGTTCGTGCTTTAAACAGGTCCCTGTCAACCTTGAGCTATTCAATGTTATGAATGTGGGGGAGATATTCTTTCCAAATTTAGGGGCCTGGGGCTTGTTTTTGTTTGACAAGTCCCTTACAGGGTTGCGGTATGCCAGGTTTAGGGACTTGGGGAATCTGTGGTTTTTGGCAAGTAAAGCCTTCAACCCCAAGATCCTAACACAGGGGTCGAAAGTCCCTTTTATAATTCGAGTACAATGTACCTCGAAACCCTATCCTCCGCTTTTTGAGGCCCTGACATCAGAGACTTCAATCCGCAACTTATTCGTGCCTCCAAACCCTGAACACTGAACCTTGGAACCCAAACAGTCCCTGAACCCTGAAGCCCTATGGGACCCTTGTCTTTTTAAAGGATCCCTAAACCCTATACTCTAAGGATATCCTAACGATGAATTCTAGAAGTGCAGGTTTCTATTGGGTTTAGACAGCACTTGTGGCCTGAGCCATAAGCCATCGCCGGAGGGTCGTTGCCTATGCGCCGTCGTCGGAGGAGTGGACAGAGATGCCCCTGGGGACGAGAGAGTGTAGAGGCTTCAGGGAGTAAAGGTTGTCCTCCACATGAGTGTCACTTCTCGGGTCTTTATACGAGGGAGGTGTTATCTTGCTGCTCTGGAACGGCACCCTAGCTTTGCACAACTGGCCATCCGAAGGCTTCAGTACTTCGTGGAAGGCTTTGGAGTCCGCTTCTCGTTTTTGCTAGAGCCACACGAAAATCTCCGATGATGTTTAGTTCGTCTGCTGGGACTTTTGGGTTTAGGGAATTTATTAAAGCCTGCAAACAAAGATCATGAATTGTTCAGTTGTTCTTGGAGTCCCTTGTTTTTCAAATTTCACAGACAATCAAAGACACGAGAGTATGGAATGACCCGGAGAGATAAAAGCTTGATGCACGTTTCTTGAGTCTCCCCCCTGGATGATTGGTGCGTGGTAACAAGAGTTTAGGGCCAAGTTTAGGTTGTTAGGGTTGCAAGGTTTCGTGCCAATCAGACACTGTCTAAAGCAAGCCCTAAACTCTTAGAAGATTTTTGGCTTTGCTGGTCAGGGCTCCAACATGTAAGCTCGGCCACAGTTTCCTGGGGCCATAAAACTCAGCCCTCTTGCATGACGCTGGGTTACTGCACAGCATGTTCAGGCCAGCAATGGTCCATCGCCGCGAGGGCTGCGGTGCAGCCAGCTGCAACGGCCTGCTCGTGGTGGCAGGACATCGGGTGCGAGTTTCAGGGGTGTTTTGGTGCTTTTCGCAGGGACTGATGAGCTTGTTTCAACTACACATACAACACGTGCACGCCTGTCTCAAGTGTGGTCTAAGTATTTTTTTGATGAGGATATACCACTGGGCGTCTTGAGCCCGAAGCCTGTAGTCTTACCCCCTGTAACCCTGTTGCATCAACCCTGAAGACGACCTACAATTATGTATAATGTATGTACATAGTCGGCAGTGTATGTATATTTACATGTGTATATATATATATATATAGATACATAGATAGATGTACTTACATGCGTGTGTGGGTGTATATATATATATATATGTATGAACATACATATGTATATATGTATGTACGTATGTATGCATGTATGTATGTAATGTATGTATGTATTCATGTATGTATGTATATGTTTGTATATGTTGACATCCATGCGCAAGGTGTTTTCAGAGGGGTCCTGACCTATCTGCGAGATCTTGGGGAGTTTCTTATAGCAGTGACATTCTGATTCTAGGGATGCCCATGTGGTTGGTCATTCGTCATGGAATGGCCGTCTTTACTGTAGCCTTGCGAGTCACGGTGCCCAACATGCTTGTCCAAAAAAACAAAATCTCGGTAAAGATGCCGTGAAGGAAAGGTTCAAGGGGGCCCTGTACCACACGCCAGGAGGGGGTGATGGAGTCGACCTCCACATCTCCTCCGAGTGCTTGAACCCCGAATCCGGCGGCTCCTTCGGCTTTTCTTTTCGCAGGTGTTGTTGCTTTTTGCTTTAGGGTTTAGGGTTTAGGAGGGTTGAGTACGAAAGTAAGTACCGTACGTAAGTGATTAAGCACGTAACAGGTAGGTCAGTAGGTAAGTGGTGTGTTGCCCTGCTTTTCGTTTGCGGGTTTCTGGGTCGGCCCCTCCCTTGTTGTAATGGGCGTAGGGCTTGAGCCGTGGTTTATCTAGGGGTTAAGCGTTTAGGCCTTTTGCGCAGTCAGACTTTGGAGCCATTTCGTGTTGTATAGGCATGATTTCGGTAAAACCCAAACCAAAATCGCGCAAGGCTGTTGGATGCTCCTGCCCAACATGGAGGCTCAGGGCTGGGTTCCGGGTTTTAGGTTTCGGGTTTAGGGACGTAGCTTAAAGCGCAAGTTCTCTGTGGCCCAACCCCTGGACCGTCCGGACCCTACAGAGCCTTCGAGTCCAAGCCTCATCTCCGTGGGCCCTTTCAAACCCGTCCGATGCCAAGTTTAGGGTTCAGGGGTTCAGGGTTCAGGGATAATGCAAGATGTCATCGGACGTCCCATGCGAGAAGAACGCAGGAGATCCTTAACGAGGCAGCCAATTCCCTAATTGATTCCATCAACTTACATCACCGCCTTCTCTGTCTGTGGCGTTGGCAGTACAAATTCTGTGCAACTACGAAATACATTAGCTGGAGGCGAGTACGGCCGGTTAACGACTAAGTCGTACTTGTCACTCCCGATAACAGACTTCAGCCGGCTAGCCTGTGCATCTATCGTCGTCGGGTAATAGGGCAGAAGATCATGTTAGCTCGCTCTTACGAGAGATAACAGTGAGCCAATCTCGGGCTTAGGTTCGTGTTTCGGTCGGTAAGGCTCACAAACTCTAAACCCGAATCCCTCTTGTGGCGCAAGCCGGGTGGATTGTGCCAGTCAATACAGCCAAGATGGATCCTGCGACTCTGCCTCTGCATTATTGGAACAGCATCCCGTTTTCGTGGGTTCATGAATCAGAGTATCCAGCTCTCAAACTTTGTCGGCCTGCACTTGGGAAGCAGGTAACTGTTTTCCTGCATGCAGTACCAGGATGCAGCATCGTCTTCGACCCAAGTGCCGACACACGACACGGATACGACCAATGAAGGTGCAAGAGCCGCAAGGCCCGAACTGCGTTGGCGCCGCTACTTGCCGGAGATTTTTGAGGAAGGCCGTGACCCTTCTCTGAGCACGGGCAGCTGTCCTGAGATATGGGATCCCTTTGAAGAGGAAGTGCAGCGGGAGTTGGACTGGGCCTAAACCAGACGTGGACTGTCAACATCTGTCAACCCTGAACCCTGCACTTCGGCTGACATCCAACACCTTGAACCCAACTGCCCTAAAGCCCCTCTCTCTCCCTCTCTTGTGTGTCTGCTGTTGTTGTTTTATTCTCTCTGTCTCCCTGTGTACGTATGCACGTAACACATACGTACACGTGTGCATCTTGCATATACACATACAAGCAACCATAGCAATAGTCTCGACCTGAGCTCTGCTTTTATAGTACCCTTATAGATATAGAAACCCTTTTCGATCCTTCATAGGATCCCTTTAAAGGAATTCCCCCATTCCCTACTACGAACCAGTCTGCGCTGCTGGGGAGCCTCAGGAGGCCAGAATTGGATGCGCAGCCGTGTCCTTGAATGGTCAGGCGAGCATAGGGGGGGCAAGGGGAAGGGGGGCAGGGGGCTCATAATAATAATAAGGAACTCGTCCGGCCCATTTAAGGAAGTATAGTCCCCAACCCGCCTCCCCCCTACCCCCCTATGTGTCCCGAGGAGAGCATGACTTCGGGATTCAAAGGGATTCACCGGCTATAATGGGCTTAAGGCTTAGGAATTTTAGGGTTTGGGGTTCAGGAGTTCATAAGGTTTAATTGGTTTAGGGTCCAGGGCTTCGGGGTTCATAGAGTTTAATTTGTTTAGGGTCTATGGCTTATAGGGATTCATAAGTGGTGTATCGGGTCCTGTTTGGGGCTTACAGGGCTTGTTGGCTTCACCGGTGTTAACCTAGATTGTCGCTAGGACTGTACAATACAGAAGCCAGGTAACCAAAACAGAGCTAGATTCGAACTAAGTTTGAGAAAGGCGGCTCGGGGTTAGGGTTTGGTATGTGCAAGTGCAGACGGTGTTCTTTGGGTTCTGGGCTCAAAGAGTCTGAGGTGAGATATCTTTAATTATTCGGCCTTGCGCCAAGTAGAGCTCTTCTGAATTACACCTAAACCCCCCCTTAACGAACAAACTGTATTACAGGGATTAGTGCTTGGGGCGATGAAGAAAATGATGGTGGGCATGGTGATGCGATGGTTGCGGTTCCAGTAATGCTTGGTTCCGTGCCTCGGATTATGCCTCAATCCCCGGATCAGGTTGTCGGAGTTGGTGGGTCCGCCTACTGCCTACGCGTCCCCTTCGGGATGAGATCTAGACATCCTCAGATGCCGTAGACCTATAACCTCTAATGACATGTGGATGTAGACGGAAACAAAGCTAAAGCGCCTCCAATCCTCGGATGTGGTTGCTTTCTCGCACAAAGTCACCCTCCACGAATCATGCTTGGCCAGGTCTACGTTTGTGGTGGATGTGGCCGCCGTGGATCCCTCGCAATTGTGGATCGCTACAACTCAGCTGAGGGCCAGTGGGAGGCAGGGCTCCGGGCTCAGGGTTTTGAGGTTGTGGGGTTCAATATCAGAGCCGGAACATCCATCAGACTGGGTCGCAGATGTCCTGGTAATCTCGAATACAGCTGAAGCACAAATCGCTCAACACGCTGGAATTGTTGCCAGAAACGTGCAATGCATAGATGTCCAGCGGGAGTCACTGGTTCTGATGTCATGAGGCAGTACTTTTTCCTTCCTAAAGCTATTGCTAAAAACTGTATAGGGGAGCCGTTGTAGCAAGACTTACAGTGGCCCTCGTAGTAATCTCTGTAGCAACTAAACGCTAAACAGTTGTTGTACCCTTGAAGGAACCTCAGATCCTTTAAAGGAAGCCCTACACCCTTGTAGCATGCTTTCTTAACACCACACTATTGTCAAGCGTGGAGGCCGTGCGCCCAATGCGGGATGCTCGTGAGCGATTCGCCGCAGCCTGGGACCGAGAAGGCAGCACTTAGTAATCAATAATACATTATAATACTAGTAGTAATCATAGATAGAATATTCAGACTACTACTACGAACAATAATGATTATCATAAGAATACTAGTAACAATAAGAATAATGGAACCTAAATTTGATGGCGCATCTCTATAGTTGCCATGGTCGTCACCACAGCATCACTGCTATCACCGTATGCCATGTTTGCCCTCTTGTCCACGCACCGCTTTGCAGCACTTGCTAGAACTGTCATCATGGTGCCCGCGTCGTCGTCCTCGTCATCATCACCGCCGTCATTGTTTTTAAACTCTGCATCATTATCCTGTTTTTAAACTCTGCATCATTATCCTTATGAATGCCTCAATCCTGAACCCTATCTCGAAGCCGTAAACACCAACAGCAGGGCTCCCTCGAGATGTGACTCTGTTCTTCTCTTCGGATGTTGTCTCTGTCGTCATGCTCGTTGGTTGTCTTCAATCTTGTTGTTGCTGGTGGTGGTCATGGTGGTCGCAGTGGTCCTGCCCAAAGGGCGGTGGTGCTGGGGTTTTGGCCGCTCGCCTGCACAGCGCGGCAGAGCTCTCCGGGTCCCTCCACTGTAGCAGACCCGAGGCCGTGGTACATGGATTCATCTATGTTCCCTGGCCTTGTTCAGATGGTATGGAATTGAAATGTTTAGGGTTTAGGGTTTAGGGTTCAGCATTGTCACCACTGGTTCTCTGTCAAGGCGTGGTTTGCCTTTGCAGTAGTATTGCTGGCATCCATGTTAGAGGGTTCACGTACATGAACCTAGTGGGATGGGAGCACTGCATTGCGGCTGTTCTGAGGTGGTGTGTCATAGTAGCTGAGCGAGCAACCTTTCCCAGCATGGAGTATCTCTGGCCCGTTCAGCATGGCTCTCCTGTGCCAAGTGTTTCGAAACACCTGACTGAGAGAGTCCTGAGAATGTCCGTTTCTGCTGTCCTAAAGATACGAGTTGGGGCTTAGGGTTGCCATCATGACTGTTCCCGTTCTTCCTGCCTTCACTATCATTGCTTTTCACAGCTGTCGCGATTATCGTCCATACCGTTCCATGTCAGTACTGTTGTCATGAGGTTCAGAAGACGAGTGCTAGAATAGTTCAAGCTACTGTACTAGTACTGTAAGACTTAAGAAACTCATCATGTCATCGGTTGTTTCGCGGGTCTTCCCAAACCCGAAGCTCAGCATTCGAACCCTATGAAGCCTTCGTCCTCTGAACCCCGATCAAGCTTTCCAACTACCTTCTCGACACCCGCAATTCTCGGCCCATGAAGAGAAGTCCCTAGAGTATAGTCCTTATGTGCAGGAAATCCCTAATCGCTAATGCCTGAACCTTCTGATTTCTCCTGCCAACAGTCGTGCAAACAAGTATCAAGCCTTACGCCATCCTGAACCCAAGCCACAACCCCCGAGTCCCGCAGCCTAAATGGATCCTAGACCCTAAAACCTTGAACCAATCCTGCCCGAAATCCTAATACCTCGTCGAGTCAAGGAGCATGAAATCCAAGATCCTACACCTAAGTGCTACTCTTATAAGCCGCGAACACTAAAGGCCCATCCAAATGGGAGTTTCCGAAAACAGGGGACCTTGATATAGTACCCTAAATAGTAGGATCCTTGTTATAAGGACCCCAAAACAGGCTACCCCTAATTTTCGGAAACATCCAAAATCGTAATGAAACCTGCCTTTCCCCACTCCAGCCTTAAACTTGAAAGGCCCAGCCTCGTGCAGGTCTGTGGGGGATGGCTCTACGGAGATCCCAGTGCGCGGGCACGCGCTTTGGGATCTCTTGTGGTTGAGGGTTTCGGGGCCTGGGGGTTCAGGAGCTTAGGCTTTAAATTTCAGGTCTTGGGGTTTATTCAGGCTGTGTGGGTTTGAGGCTCAGGCTTTGGGGGCTTATTGCGGGTTTAGGATTCAGGTTTTAGGGTTCATGGTTTAGGTTCAGGGTGTAGGGTGTAGGGTTGCGAAATTGATCTAGGGTTCTATTTGTTGTTGCAAGGCTTTAGAGTGTGAGGCCTCCAGGGGTTTAATTGGGGCTTTAGGGGCTGAGGTTTTAGGGGTTCGAGTGCAGAGCCAGTGGGATGAGCGACAGAGCGCATGCAGAATGTGTGAGTGACGGAGAGGAGTGGAGAGAGTGAGCGTGAGCAAGTGGATGAGTGCGCGAAGAGAGTGAATGGATCAAGGAGTAGGTGACATCGAAAGTGGTTAATTAGACATCTGGCATAGTTCGAGTACATGAAGGAGCGCATAGAACTGAGAGGCCAAGCAGCTGCAGACTCTGACTCAAGTCGCCATTCTGACACCTCCCCATGCTCTGGACGACATCTGCTTCGAATGGAGAATGGCCGTCGAACACAGATTACCTACTCAAACCTAAACACCCAAGCCCTTGAAACCTGAACCCCCTGAACCACTGAACCCCACAGCCCTCAAAGCAATGCACCCTTCCGTTTTCTATTTTGGAAACATGGAAATTTGAGAGAGAGACCTCTCAAGTTGCTCTTCTGCCTGTTATCCGGCTCTCCGAAAGGTTCTCGGGCTCAGGCCAGGGACAGAAGTAGGACAAGCGCCCGACAGCCCAACGCTGCGGGACAAGGGCTCAGCACACGTCGGTTTGGGGTCGAGCTTAAGCGTCCTGTAGGTGTGCGGGCTTGGGTTTGTGGATTCGGGTCCAGGGTTCCGGGTTTTTTGGAAGGGGCTCGGGTTTCTTGAGGCTTCATCAGCTAGGACCTAGAGTAGGCCCTTATTCCCTTTTTTAGGGTTCAGGTTCCCTGATGGGCCCCTATAAAACCAAAAAGGGCACCCTTTTTTTCCTGGTTACTCTGAGCTGGGCTCGGCACCTGCGCAGGCTTGGAGGCTCCTCACGGAGAAGCTGATTTGTTTGACAAGCCGTAAGCCGTGGCCAGCCAAATCAGAAGCACCCGTGAATAGTGTAATCATGAGAAGCATACTAATGACAAGAAAACTAAAGTGCTACATAATAACATCAACAATAGCAACAACGAATATTGATAACAGTCATAACCAGGGTCTTAGCTGATCCACAAGCCCGAAATCCAGACTCAAGTGTTATGCTCAGCCATGGGATCCTTTGTTGGGGGCGGGATCATATTTTGTCGTTATTTGTGGATTCGCAGGATGTTTTGCTTGACAGGTGTTGTGTTGTTATTCCCGCAAATGGAAATGAAAAGGAGCACCTGTCGTGATGTGCAGGTCTTCAGGTCCGGATCCTGGATAGTCTCAACAGAGCCAAAACTCGCAACTTCAATGCTCAAGTCCACAGCATTCACCCTTGATTTTAGCCTCCAGGTTCAGGGCTTTAGGGTTTAAGGTTTATAAAGGGTTTAGGGTTTATAGCCTCCAGGTTCAGGGCCTCAAGGTCTTAAGATTTAGATTTCAGGGTTACGGTCTTGGGGCCCGGGCTTCCTCCAAATCCACAAACCGCCGCTACTGACTGAGGCGCGCGCCCTGAGCCCGCACATGTACACTTTTTGGTGCGGGACTCGACCGGCTTACGGTTTCAGAGATGAAGAGGAGTTCTTTGCTCTTATCATAATTCTATTTATTATAAGAGAACTCACTAAACAATATGAAGTCTTATCAATATTATTTTTTCTTCTGAGTCGCGTAGGATCCTCAACCCTAAACCCTAAACCGAAACTATTTCGGGATTATCGTTGTGATTCTTGCCGTTGCTAGAAGCAGCGTCCAGAATTTTGGGAGGGAGAATTAAGGCTCTTATACCAAGTTTGCAGCAGGTAAGCGCCCTACGGCCCTTATACCAAGTTTGCAGCAGGTAAGCGCCCACAAATCCTAAAGCCGAACTCCACTTGTCTCGAACCCCAGAAATCTGAAAGTTCACATTGCAGGGAACCCGAAATCATAAACGCCTCAAGCACGAAAGCATACAAGCCAGAGAAGCCTAGACCTAGAGTAGCCAAGCCAGTGTACCTGTAAAAAAGGGATATGGCCACACAAATCTGTGCATTCAGAATTTAATTTGGGGTATCTTGGATACTCTAGGGAGCCTTACATCATAAGCCCTAAACCCTATAATTACCCTAAACCCTATAAACCCTAAGCCCAAACGCTAAACCTTAAACCCAAACCCTAAACCCCAAAATCTGAGCCCTAAAACCCTAAACCCTAATTAAACCCTACAGTACCCTTATAGTAAGCCTTATAGAACCCTGAACCCTATAGGACCCTTATAGTAAGCCTTATAGTACCCTAAACCCTATAGTACCCTTATAGCAACCCTTACAGATCCTGTATAGTAACGGTAACCCTAATCCACAACGCTAGACTGTATAAGCCAGGGGGAACTCAGACTGCTCTGTGTTTTTGAGGTCCGAACTTCAGACACAGAATTGTCCAGGGCCGCGGGCGGCGCACTCATGCCGCTCGTCAGAATGACTTTTTTAAGATTTGGGAGCAATCTTGGTTTTGGGGTTCAGGGTGTTAGGGCTTAGGGTGCTAGGGCGCTGAGGATCGCAACGATCATTTGTCGATGAATAAGTTGCTGCGCGGTAAGTTGGAGCCGCGGTAGGAGAATGTCTATCGGTTTCGGATCCTAATAGTTGCCTGAAGAATTACCAACAGTTTCCCTTAGTGTGCCTTCGTCTGACACATCAGGAAGCAAAACCATCTTGTCAGAACATGGGTTCTGCAGCCTAGTGGAGCAAGATGTATGCCTGTTGTCTTGCTTCGCTTCACTTGCCTGGCCAGAATGGAGGCACGCACGCTTTCCGTTTGAGGGTTTAGCGTTTAGGGAGTAAGGCTCAGTGTGCACCTCATGCAGTACTTCTAGAAGCCTCACGGATGTAATGTAGGGGCCGTAATAATTACCTATACCGTTTTGGGGGGGGTCCTTATTGTAGTTATAGTATAATTGGCCCCAAAACCCTATTCTAATTATTTAGGCCCCTGTGTCAGACTCAGGAGGGTGTAATTGCAGAAGATCCGTGTGGGAGAAACGAATCGGGTGAAGGGTTCCAGGGTAGGACGGCCGTAACTCAAAGCTGTCTCGCCACACCTGTCTGCCCTGCCACATGTTGGTTTTTTCTGTGCAACATGACAAACATTTTGCTTTTTTTTGTGCAGAATTCAACATTTGGTTTCTTTGTGCAAATATGCAGCAATATGCTTTGGCGATCGCTCGTCAAAGCACCAAAAACCCCCTGGCCCTCCCTGGGCCTTTGGGGGCATGCCGGACGAAAAGTGACTGTTCACGGCTGGGCTCCAGACCCACGTGATAGGGGCCTTGCTTCATACATAATTAGACAGGGTTTCAGGGGTATATGCTAAAAGTACAATCGTTACTGTAGTAGTCAAAATACCCCATCACCGAAACACAGCTTCCAAATCTCGGCATTCTGCAACACAGCTTCCAAATCTCGGCATTGTGCATCTCAGGCGACATCATTGATGGCCGCCGCCCCCTCGGCTTTTCCTGGGCTTCAGGGTTTGCAGTGTGCCTTGATCCATCGAACTCCAAAACAATAATATTATGGAGGTCGCGGTCATTACCGTAGGAAGGCTAGAACTATGTAATTCGCGAACCCTCACACTCCAAACTCTGCAGCCCCAAATCTTCAAGCATGAAAGCATAGCATATCCCAAGACCCTATTGAAACCATTAATTTAATGAGGCCGCTAAAATATGCTCGCGGACCCTGACCGAAACCCTACACCCCTCAACCCGAAACCCTACACCTATCCTAAGCCTTAAATACCGTAGCCTAAACAGGCCTCTACCTCTTTGGCGGCTGGAACGGCAAGCGCGCCCTCAACGATCTCCATGTGCTCGATGTGGCATCTGGTACCTGGTCGGAGGCCCTTTTGGACCTCAGGGCCTCTGGAGCTTGCCGGAGTGTAGGGTTTCCTTTAAAGGATCTGGGGTTCCTTTCAGGGTACTATAGGGGTTTAGGGTTTCAGGTTGTATGGTTTAGTCTTTTGACGTGTAGGGTTTTGTTTCGGGGTTCCTTCCAGGGGTTTCTCAGAGGCTTTAAGATTTTTTGGGGGTTGAGGCTTTAGGGTTTACACGAGATCCTACTTGAAAGTCAGCGAGGTTGTGCTTCATGCTATCTGCCCTCGTAAAAAGTTACCCCAACGCCCCATGGATTCGTCAGCATCGCAAAGCTCTGAAGCCCTGTCGCGCTAAACCCCCAATGAAAACCAAAGCCTTCAACGAGATCTTGAAGGGTGGGATGAAGGTAGGTGAGTTCTCAACAGAAGACTCCTTAAATAACGGATCCTTACTGTTCATCCTACGCACCTTCATCCCACCTTGTGAGGCCTCCAAACCTTAAGACCCTCAATGCACGAAATCGTTTAATCCCTCGACATGACCACATAGCTTTGGGTTCAGAAAATCTGCATTCTTAGAGCCTCAGTGCCTGAGAGCAGGTGCTGCCGTCCGGGAGCGCACCGTCCGCCAGGAACAACCACACCACGGCCACCAGCCAAGCAAGCGAAGCTTGATGAAGGGTGGAAGTTTCAGGAACTAGAGTTCAGTCTAGCTTGAATACACGGTAATGAGGTAATGCTAATCCAAAGGTGGCCCGGCCCTCGTCCAAAAGCAAAAGCATATTCTAATCCTTGAGCCTTGGGGACTACTTAAAGGACCATGGGACTTAACGTCTAGGGTTATAATTAGGGTAACTATGCTTATAGCTACTTATAGCCCCTCTTAAGGTACTTATAACCACACTTACTAAGTCGCATGATCCTCCAAGTACTCAGCAGGGCAGCTCTGGGAAAGAATAAAG